CTAGCCCGGATCTACGGGCGTTACAATTTTGCCCTTCCATGGTCTAAAACCCTCAATCTTTTAACCAAAGGTCAAAAGTCAGCAAAAGTAAACAAGTCAACCTTCTCGTCCATACGCGGGGTGTACGCTTCCTACGCGGGGCGTACAACTCGAATCGGTGAAACCAGGGACAGGCCTGGCTACGCGGGGCGTAGCTAGGAGTCCGCCCGGCGCACTCTGCCTTGTCCCAAACCCCAACTTTTTATGTCTTAATCCTTTAAGATACTTATCCCAACTTCAGATCTGACCACTATAGAATGTCTTAACCTATAAAGTCATTGAATTTAAGCCTTTGCATGGCTAGATAGGGATCAATACACAAAACCTTAACTTCTACAACACTCTAAGTCACTTAACTCATGCATAGGCCAAAGGAAATGATCAAGCAACCATTTTTATGAATCTAAGCACTCTAATACATCTAAAAGGACAGCCAACATGCTCTGGAGTACCCCATACTCACAAAGGTCCAAGCTTTGGGACAAAAAGATCATAAAAACCCATCTAAGGAGATCAAGAAAGAACATCAGCAAAGTATGGACTTTATACCTTCAAAAGATGCACAAAGTGAGGTCGTTTCTGGATCCACAAGCTTTCATGCAACACCACCTTCTTCAATGACCTTCTTCCTCAACAAGAATGCACAAAATTAACAAAAAGGCTCCAAGATCTTCACTCTCAAGGCTAGGGTTCGATATTAGGGTTTAAAGGGAATGGAGCATGATCATGGGAGGTCCAAGGGTGATTTAATGTGTTTAAATAGGGGTGAAAACCTAAAAATTAGGGTTTCGCATCAGCTCACGTACGCCTGACACTCCCTCGTACGCCCAGCGTACACTGCCTCCGTCCTGACTCAAATAAGTACATGGCTAGTACGCCCCGCGTAAGTCGGAAATCCTCAAAGCTCGAATTAATAATTAAATAGATTGGTACCTCTGGATTATGGATGTGACACCTTACCTCCCTTACCCTCTCATTTCAAGTACAAAGCATGGTTGGTTGTGTGTTTGACTAGCCATCAAAGCATGGAGCTTGGCTACCCTTAGATACTTGCTTGAACTATAAATATAGGCCATTTCCTCTTCATTTTAACACTCAATTCACAACCATTAATCTTTCTCTCTCTCTCTCGGCCTAGAAAACACCCACCGGAGGTGGCCCTCGACCACCGAGAACCACCCTCCTTCTTATCTTGTTTTCATTGACCAGCCACCACTACCACCTGCCTCCTCCCTCCCTCCGACCCCCGTTGTTCGCTACTGCCTTTCCCTTCGCGTTTTTCTGCCGACAACAAGAAGGCAACCGAGGAAGCTGCCGAAATAGCCCCTCGCCACGCACTGCCACGGTTAAACCATCCCTCGGCCACCACCTTTGTTTCCATCTCTTGTTTCTAATTTTTCTGTGGTATTTGCTAAGTCCAAGTCTCAGGTTTTATATTTGTTTCGCGGGTTATTTCGAGTCCAAACAACAAGTTATCGTTCGTGTTTTCTCGAGGTGTTCTCAAAGATAATCGCACTCTCGACTCTAATTTACAAATCACACATCGAAAGTGAGTGGTTACGGCCCTTTTTAATAGCTTTTATATATTTCGCGGGGAGGGGGGGGGAGAGAGACATGTGCTCAATATTTCATTCTTGCAAAACACTCTTAAAAACATACTACAACAAGTTATCATTTTATGTGAAAATGCATCATATCTAGTTTATAAATGTTATTTTGTCAAGTAACACTTCATTTACAAATAAACTAGTCATAAATATGATATATGCATGTGTTATAGTTGTTTTAAAATGATACAACTAGTCAAGACAACTTACTACAAAATGCCATGATTTTATGTGAAAAATATGTGTCATAAAGTTTATCACCTTTGTAGTATTCAATATATATATATATATATATATATATATATATATATAAGTTATAAATATTATAACTTGAAATTTATACATGTACTTATGAAATTTACCACCTATTTAAGCGAGTATCAAGCACTTTTACGTATATACTTATCGAACATACTCGGCTTTTATAAACTTTATGCAACGTAAATCATTTCTTATCCACGTATAAGTTAGGGTTGGGAGTTTTTTGTATACACTAGTCAGTGGCTTTTATAGTGAGACGCTATTCATATCCCTAGATAAAAATACTTAGAAGACCCCTACTACGATAACCGTTAATTATTCAGAGCTAGATACATATGTATAGATCTATACGGGTTGACACCCCTACCTGCGATGCTAGCTACAACCAAGATGTAAAATCGAAGCGGGTGATATTTATCTTATCAGCGCTACAACGTCCAATGAAGCATCGTAGAGGGTACTCTAGTCGTATAGCTCGGTTATAAAACTCACTATAAACATTGATAGCATCACTACAAACCATTGACTTGGTTTCTCTCTCACTTCAAAACTGTTATAAATATCGTTTTACTTATGGAAAAACACCTTTTTGGTTTTTAAAGCTTCTCTGAAGGCTCTTTACAAACTCCTTCATAAGTATGGTTTTACTTACAAAAGAAAATATTTTTTGGTCATTTTAAAAGTATCACTACTGCTCTAGCAAAAAACCTGTAACTCTCACCAACCTTGTTTTGACCCTCAAAACTACATTTATTCTCAGGAAATCATTAAACCGACATTTCAGATGACAGAATAGTCATGGATTGCAGGCGACCTAGTTTTCTAGTTTTTGTTCTACCGGCCTACTTGTTTAAGGCAATCCATGTACTCTATTATTATATGTAAGAACCTTGTATTCAAACTTCAAGCTGAAATATAACTATTGTTTTGTTTATCATTGTACTTGTGTTATATATCCAATTGTCTGTGATCCATTAACTAAGTCGCACGGCCTGACATGTTCCGCCGCCTCGGTCGGGGTGTGACAGTAGGCGGCCGGTTGTAGTAGCAACAGGAGGTGAACGTGATGAAGGTACCATAATCACAATTTTTAAAGTCGTTGAATTATAACCAAATGAAATTACAAGGATCAAATTTGCAAATTTTCTCATTATTCTTATTAAACCCCCTCACTAATTAATGACACTTTATGTTGGAAAATATAGGGTTTGTAGTGGAGATTTGGATACCAACTTGGATCGTGAGAACACTTTCCAAACTGATATTTATACCCTATGTCTGGGTTGCAAGAAATTCAGCCTAGGATAATCCAAGTGGACACTTACGATTCTAGGCACAGAAATCGTAAGCCAATTTGCTAGAAAGATTTTGTCAGTGTATGAAAACCGAGATCTAATTTTCGTGTGTATCTATCTTCCCAAAAGGAAGAGTCGTCTATATAATAAACGAGATTAGGGTTTCATTAGGGTTGGGCCGTCATTAGTTGCTTTAGAAGCAAGTCGGGTAATACGGATTTAATGAGGATTTAGGGTTACCAAAACCAGCGGGACCCCAGCCAGGGGCGCTGCCCCTAGACCCCGCCAAAGGGGCGCCACCCCTTTGGAAACCCCGGACCCAGGGGCGCTGCCCCCGGACCCCCGGCTTGTCGTCGAACCAACTTCTAATTTGATCTTATACATGTATGCACTCCGCACCAACCCGTACATATATTAGAGTACAAATTATGAAGCCTCTTAGCTCACATGTTAGTTCCAATTACATAAAAGGACATGGTGACACTAAAATCACCAACACTTTCACTCTCTCCTAACCTGATAATTGAATTGGACTCCCCCACATCCATCTTTTGCCGTCAACGACTAGGCCTGCCACCATTTCTTATTCCCTGCTACAACTCTCTATCACGTTATCTTTTTCGTTGGTACCTCTTCACACCCCATTGCATATGAATTTTTCTTATAAATTGTATTTGTACAACCCAATAGTATTCAAATTTCAACGGCTATCGTTGTATCCATTTATATCATTATAATAGGTTTCTAAGGTCCTTGTATCCCTTTGTATCGTTTTGATAGAAGAATTAAGATGAAAAAAAAAGATAAAAGGACCTTAGAAACCTAATATTGCATATGAATTTTTCATTGGTACTCCTTCACACCCCATTGCATATGAAAACGATACAAAGTGATATAAGGACCTTTAGAACATCAAAATAATCAAAACACTAACATCCATTAAAACCACGTAAATTTGAAAGTTTGGATCATTTGAACAATAGTGCATCACCATTATTCTTGTGAATAAACGAATAAAATTTGAAAATGTTTTGTGTGTAAAAAAAAGTTGCCCGAAATCCCAAATCCAAACTTTCAATACATAGTTTATTGTGAAGACATACATCAGTCCGAGATGCAGCATTTCGAACAATATGATCACTTTTGCAAATACCTAAAACGTTAGTCATAAAGAGATATATCACCCTTTTGGTATTCTCGGGTATCACCCTTTCTGATGATGGTCATTTTTATGAATATCCCAAAAAAAGATTAGTTTTAAGATATAAATATTCATATCATACTACACCATCCACAAAGATTAATAGATTTATTGTGACTAACACAAATTTTGTTAGTTAATTTCAATCGTTAGTTGATAAACCATTTGAAACTTGGATAACCAACCAGCACTTAAATTCTGATAATAATTCCATTATGATTCATTACTTGGACCAAATAATGAATCTCCTACAAAATTTACAGGCCGAATGACACAGCACACAAAGTAAAATAAAATGTAACTCGAATCTTACAACCTAAAACAAACAACACTAGACTGCTTAATTAATCTTTGAAATCCATCCAAAAGAATTTCAAGCACTTTACTTTTATCAAGATCAGACAGACAGGTGTGGAATAGAATAATTATAGAATCAGCTTTTCCAATTCATGGACGTCCATAAGATCATTGGCTAGCATTGTAGCCAAGCCTACCATGATTGATAGTGTGTAAGTGTAAGTGAAAATGACATAATTCATCATTCGTAATTGAGCCTTGCAATCAAGGTTAGACATCCTCGCCAAGTAGGCAATCAATCCTAAATTAAAATTTGATGAAATAGCTTTAGGCGAATCAATATGGCTTTATATTGGGATCCAAATAAAAGAAGTCAACAATACACATTGGAGTACAACAAAGTTGAGCAAATTTGTCTAGCAAATATAAATAGGCCAATATTGAGCTTGGCTTCCCATATCCTTTTTTATCACAAGAAATGTCAAATATATGTGAATTTAGAGTAGAGTTGTTTGGGCAAGCAACCATTTTTCTGCTACTCCATCACCTCACCTGCCAAAAAAACCCAGCAAATTTAAAAACCTAATTGTAAATGAACAAGGGAAGGCATCTATCACCTACCTTGATAAACTCTTGCTCCTGCTTCTGCTTCTGCTTGGACTCTTACTCTTGCTCTTGCTTTTTGGACTTTTACTGGTAGCAGCAGCAGGCTTTGGACGCTAGTACAAAAACACACAACATAACACAACACACACAATAATAAATATATCAAGGTGGGTAAATCATGGTAACATGAAGAACAAAGTATATACATATAGATATTATACGTGTCTAGATGCAGTCAACCAAGCAAGGTTTTGTTTGACTTACAGACGGTGGGGGGGATCTGGATCTTGAAGGAGATCTGCAAAAGTTCCAGAAACAAGCGAGTTTAATAATATCCATCCATCCAAATGTATGTTCCTCTTATCCAACAGTAGCCTTCTCATTCATGAATCATGCCAATATGTTTAAACAAATTATCTTGTGTAAATTTGGAGATCCATCCAACAACTTTTTAAATCATGACAGCAATGCAATAGCCCCCACTCCCCTATTCAAAATCCAGCCTTTTCATTGCAATCCATATCCATCAATCCTAACATGCAATCCCATCCCCTGACAAGCTGTATATATCCATATCCATATCTAAAAAGGCAGAATCAAGAATCAATGCTAGTTGACACAAAATCATAAACCAGCCCCCACCCCCAGGTATTTACTCTCGTTTTAAATCCTATCCTATATACAAGTACAGCTCTCATTCTTACTGCATATATTATAATATATATATATATATATATATATATATATATTAAAATTAAAAGAAACATCCATCTACAGACTTGTCCAAGTCCAGGACATGAAAAGATATGGGTAAGGGTAATATACAAGAGGCAAGTAAGGAGTTGGTATGATATTTAGATAAATTAGGAATTGAGCAGAAAAAATAGTTATACCTTGCTGATGGGCGCGCGGGTTCTGATCCAGAACGAGAACGAGAACGCGACCTCGAACGGGATTTTGAGCGCCGAGATGGTTTTGCTTTTGGGGACTTGCTGTTTACAAGGAAACCAAACCCAATTTATTATTATCAATTACGGCTTTTTTTTAATAAAAATATAGTGGTTCTGACTTCTGACCTTCTGCTCCTGCTGCGGCTGCGGCTATAGCTCTTGCTACGGCTGCGACTATGGCTCCTAGACCGACTCGAATCATACTCCTTCACCTGTATGCATGTATAAAAGTAATTAGTAAAGCACATACCACAAAAAAACACACACACATATATATATCCTATTAGCATGTTAATAGTTTTAAATCATACACGTATCACTCCACGTGAGAAAGCATTTCGAAACTCTGAGTCGTCCAATTTGCGTATCTGCCACAAAAACAATAATATTAGATAACACCACAGCCACAGGTTTGTAACACCAACAGAATTAATTAATTATTTACAGCATATTTCATGTCATCGTAGTTTGTGTAGTCCACAATCCCTGTGGTACCTGCAATTTACAATAGTCAGACTTGTCATAGGATAGGCACATACTTTGCATTATTGCATGTTTAATCTTACCACCACCCTCCTTGAAAACTTGGGAGAAACAAACATCCCCAGCTCGACGCATGTGATCCTGGAATGGAAGGAAAACAACAAGAGTCAAGTTTATTAGTTTAGAAATCAATCATTGCCTTAAATAAATGTTACGTACCTTAAGGTCTTGCCATGACGCCGAAGAGGGTAACCCAGTCACCAAAACTGCAATATAAAAACATATTTATTTATTTATTTATTTGAGTTTGAGAACCAACCAATTAACAAACATGCTAAGAATAGATCTCAAACCTCTATAATCAGATCGTCTAGAAACTCCACCATGGCCTCCCCGACCACTGCTATGGCTATTATGACGATCTGTCGAAGATGAGTTTCCACGTCCACCATGGGCAAGTTCCACCTATTATTATTATCATTGTTATTAAAACATTATTTTCTTACTTTGGTATGTGTAATTGTGTATGTGTGGGACCATCACCTACCCTTAATCTGTGACCATCAAAATCATACCCATCACGACCCCTGATTGCATCTTCAGCATCTCGGGACTCTTCAAACTATAAAAAAGAACACCAACACCATTCACCATACTATTATACATATAATATAATATATGAGTAATAAAACAAAAGAAAAGTGGCTGTAAACCTTTTGAAGCTCACCTCAACAAAAGCATAACCCGGAGGCCTTGGTGGGACTTTCAAATCAATGCGGGCTATTCGACCATACTGCACTTTCAAAACCAATATACTAATCATTCTCTATCATTTGCTTCATCCATAAAACCCATGAATATTATTCTCTACGCATTTTAATGTGCTGATGAACAAATTAAATTTCCTCCTCAAGAAACAGAGCACAAACTTCAGTTTCCATTATCACTTTATCAGAGTTGATACCCAAAAAATCATCTGAAAATAATAAACTGAATTCTCCTATTTCTCATATTCAATAGAAGCCCAAAGAGGAAACTATCCCTAAATATCAGTTACATTTCAAGGTAAGCTGTTAATTACTCGATCAAATAATTCATAATAATTAATTGGGCACATCTAATCCAGCTTCAATAAACAAACTGAATTACTAAACCATGGGGTACCGCTGATTATTCAAAGAAATAGGATCAAAAACAGCATAATAGAGAGAGTCAAAGTTCTTCACCTTGTAAAACAAATCTTCCACTTCCCGTTCGCGAATATCCCCAGGAAGATTCCCAACATAGAGCGTTCTGCTTGAGCGACTCATCTTTTCTGGTAAGATAATAATTATAGAAAAACCAAAAACCCATCAAAATGAATACAAATTAACTAAACTCGAACAACCATCAAGAGCTACAAAACTCAAAAAAAACGACGATTATATTAAATAAAACAGAATCATGACGCTAGGTAAATTCAAAAGATTGAAACTTCATCCGATGTTGATGAACCATTTGGAAATAAATTCAAAAGATTGAAACTTTATCCGATGTAATCGAAGCTTGAAGGTGGATAGAGACGCACTACTAGTATGTGCGCATGGGAAATCGTAAAAGTTAACCGTATAAAGGACGATGTAAATATGGAGCGGCTTACCTTAGTAAATGTGGTAGATCCGGCCGCCAGCGTCGGTAGGGTTCAGACTTCAGAGAACGATGAGTTAGTAGAGTTGTTAGAAACCAAAACATGTGCTATGATTTCCTGTGTTTTGCGTACGGTGGAACTCAATTTGAACCCAAATCTAGCGGCGGAACTTGCAGTTCGGGTAAAACATATATGAAGCCGGCCCAGAACTAGTCAGCCCAATTTAACTTTGTTTACCAAAATCCTAAACCTTCATCAGGCCCATAGCCTATAACTTTCGTTTATTCTCATGAAATGTTGTTGCTTGTATTATACATAATAATAACTACTAAAAATGGTCCGGACAGATTTTTTTTATGTTTCTTGTTTGTTTGCATTATTTTATGGGAAAATGACTCTTGAGGGTAATTAACTTTTGCGTTTGTACTTATTTGGTCTCTTTCTTTTTTTTTGTATTCAATATACCATCGAACTTGTTGTTTGCGTTCATCATAACCCTTTTGACCGGCTTTTGACATGTGATAGCCGGTCAAAGGGTTATGGTAAACACAAACAACAAGTTTGATGGTATATTGAGTACAAAAAAAAGTAAAGGGACCAAATGAGAACGAACTCAACAGTTGGTTATCCTCCTGAGTCATTTTCCCCGAAAAGTTAAATGAAATTAAAGTTGCAAAATTATCAAAGACTGCAACCTTCATTGGCTATAACGTATGTGCAGAGCGTTTCAAAGGGGTAACCTCGTTAAAACATGATCTATGATATGCTTACTGTAGTTAGTTGTCAACACCTCTCTACAAAAGGATACGACTGTGTATGAGAGGTATATTATCAGCATAAACGTTTACCTCAAGGTATATTATGGTGATGTGTCTACAAAAGCAGCATGATATTGTACATATTGATGTTGTATCTTATCCCATGAATTCGATCTTAAAGCTTAAAATCAAAAATCACAGCACTTGTGATTCCACTCGTTTGTAAACTTGTCTAGAATCCATGATACGATAAATCATTTGATTGGAAATGTAAATGTAGTCATGAAATGCGTCTGCTTAGTCAAGATTCCCCTAATAAATATTCAAGTGCATTACAAAGTTGTACATGTATGAATAATGTTCTTTCGTGGGTTATGTTTTGAAGAGAAGCAAGAATGAATCTCATAAAGTCATTAATATCAGTAGGAGATGACGTGAGATTTGTTGTAAATGAGTAAAGGGAAAATTAATCAGGAGGGTAACCAACTGTTGTATTTGTTCTCATTTGGTCCATTTCCTTTTTTTGTACTCAATATACCATCGAACTTGTTGTTTGTGTTCACCATAACCCTTTGACCGGCTATCACAGGTCAAAAGTCGGTCAAAAGGGTTATGGTGAACACAAACAACAAGTTCGATGGTATATTGAATATAAAAAAAAGGGACCAAATGAGTACAAACGTAAAAGTTAATTACCCTCAAGAGTCATTTTCCCAGTGGGTTGTGTAGAAGATAGACAGATTAAGTAATATATTTACTTTTCATTAAATGATCTTAGTAGAGACAGCAAAAGAAAAGTTTTTTTTTCTTGTTCTAGATTTGTGATATTCGATCGTTCATAGAAGACAAGTGATTGAAAATTAAAAAATCTCACACAAGAAAGCATAAAAATTGAAAAAAAAAAAAAAAAAAAAACCTTGTTTCATATAATCAAGAAAAATCAAACGGCCAAAATCATTTAAACACTGAAAATTGCTTTTATTATTGTCACAAACTAATTTGAGAGTCTTGCACTAAGATATAAAAAAATAAAAATAAAAATATCTTTTATTGTTATGCATTCTTGAAAATTTGATTTAATAATACGACTAATATAGTTCAATACATATTGATGGAAGGCAAATGGGCAACAAGTTGCGTCGCTAGCCCTTTCTGGATGGCAAAACTAATTCTTTTGAAAACAGCATTTGTGGATCTAGGAGATATGACATTAGAATGCATGACCCGTTGGACTCTGTTGATGAGCTTCACCGCCTCTGGAGCGAGAAAACCAAATGTATCAAATGCAAGAGGTACAAACACATGTTGATTATCTATACATGCATTCTCGTGCTTTGCCACTTTGCACGCAGCGGCTTTCAAAGCGGCATGCCCTGCTGTGAAACCCCCGCTCCTTAAACCGACGAGAGGAGAGACCCAAGTAAGATCCACACACGTGTACTTCCCTCCTACCCATCCAAATACCAAAATGTCAGCCGGTCTAAGTGTGGATCTTTCATCTTGCGGGTCCGTCAAAAATTTCACTGGCGCTTCTTTCTTCGCAGAAATACCAGCACACCGACAAGCATCAAAGAGAACATCCCTAACCACATCATGTCTATACTTGAAACCAGGGAGCTCTCTACAATGAACCGCATGTTCCCCAAAGGTATCCAAACATGCCTTGCGACAAACTGGGCATATCTCGTCAATTGGGAATAGAGAAATCATGAGGCGGTAACGAATGATAGTTTGGCACTCCACCGGAGACATATGTTGGACAAGGCCATCAATAGGGATAGTTAGCAAAAAATCATGAGCATGAGGTACCCGAAGGCACTTCAAAAAGACTGCTTTCTATCTAACAGTCATGTCGAAGTCGACTTCCATATCTTCGACGATTTTACTAAAAAGGGCACACGCCAATGTTTTTTGTGATTTAGGGGGGCGGTGTCCTTATTAGTGAAACCGCTACAGTCGAATCCCGGAATCGTATCTTGAAAATAAAGTGAAAAAAGAGATTTTAGGAAGATTGTTACCTTCTTGAGGGTATGGACAAGGCATTTGTTGTCAACCTTGATTTCATTTTTAGGAGACATGGAATCAAGATGATATTTGCACACTTAAAAGCTTTGTTTTGCAAAACTATGGACATATCAGAAGCTTTGATTGTGATATTGAGTTGTTGATGGAGGTTTTGTTGATCGGTAGCTTTCTTCTTTTATATTAAATTACTCAAGAACTTGCTCTTTCTTTCTAACTGTTTCTTTACTTCTTCCATAGCCTCGTCACTCGATTCTTAAATATCAAAATTTTATGTTAAGTAAGTTGCACTTATTGCACTGCCTTCGCCCCACGGACTGACCTAACCGATCTATGCTAGCTTAGTAGTCTAAAAAAGCATATATAAGCTTAAAAGTAAAAGACAACCAACCTTTAAGAAAATGTTTGAAAATGTAACATCCGATTCCAGGTATGTTCATGTTTGGACCTTTAAGTTTGAAATTTTTGTGAAAATGGTCCCTCGTACGCTGGGCGTACGCTTGGTACGCTTAGCGTACATGCGCGCATGGGATCGGGGAACTTAACCACGTACGTTGGGCGTATGACAACCAAGACCAAACCCTAATTTTTAGGGCATGAGCCCTATTTAAACAACATTATGGCCTTTGGACACTCACCCTCATCATCCTCCACTGTTCATTACGTCCCATTTAACCCTAGTTCATCCTTTTGAGTGTTCTTGAGCTTTGAAGTGACTTTTGTGACATTTTGGTGTGTATTCAAGAAGAAGGAACTTGGAGACCAAGCATTTGTTGAGGTTGAGCTTCTAGATCCAAAGTCTTCATCAACTTTGGGAGCTTTTGAAGGTAAAAAGTTCTTACCTTACCTTGATGATCCATTTGATAGTTAGAGTTTAGGGCTTGAGTATGAGCTTTATTTGGTCCCATCGTTCTCTTGGCGAGTTTGGGCAACTCCAGGAGTTAGAGGTGTTAGATCTTTGTCCCTTTGTTGTTATAGATGCATAAAAATGTCATCTTGATGGTTGATATGAGTCCATGCATGAATTTGAGTCCTTAATATGAGCCTTGATGGATAAAAATGGATGTTGGGATTCATTAAGACATGATAAGGGATAAAGTTGCCAACTTTATGTATTAGAACCCTAAAATGGACTATATTTAAAAGTTAGACCTTATGGCTGACGGATTAAACACTTTTTAGCATAAGGTGGCAAGCAGCTCAGTACGTCGGGCGTACCAAGGGGTACGTTGTGTGTACTGATGAGTGGTCGAGTACGCCAAGCGTACAACGCGTACGTCGAGTGTACGTTTCGCAGAGGTTTGCCTTGGGCTTTTCGCCTTCGGTTGGGCTTTAGACTGTTGGGCCTTAGTTAGGTTTTGGGCCTTGGACTGTTTGATGCATGCGTGGGCCTTAGGATTTCGTTAATGGGCCTTAAGTTGCTTGAGTTGGGCCTTTTGGGCCTTGGAGTCCATTATTGTGTTATTGGGCCAAGTTTGGTTAGGCCTATTATGGGAAAGGTAAAATGGGTTTTACCTTAGGGGTCTAGATTTGGGATTTAGGCCCATGGTTATGGTTTATAACCTATTTCTAATTAGGATGATTTGTTTGTGTTCAGTGTGGGATCTTCCGGTTCGGTAGCCGAGCATTTAGTTACGTATCAGCAGGCTGAGGTGAGTTTTCTCACTATATCAATGGGTCGACGGCACCAAGGTCGGCCCATTAGTTGTGATATAGGGTGTTAGCTATATTTAAGATATATGTATGAAAGACTAGGGTTTGGCCCCTGGCAACTATATGAAAGACCAAGATATGGCCCCTAGCATCTGTGTGAAAGACCAGTATCTGGCCCCTGGCAACTGTATGGAAGACCGAGATTTGGCCCTCAGCAGGAAATTACTTGTAAGACTATGGTTTGGCCCATAGCACTATTTTATTTATGTTTAATATGTGGTACTTTGGGGAAACTCGCTAAGATTTTGCTTATATTTTATATTGTGGTTTCAGGTACTTCCGGTACTAAGGGGAAGGGCGCGGCGTGATGGCACAGCATTCACTCCTCACTATTTTCCGCACTTTTGATACTATACTCTGATGATTTGACATTATTGTTATGTGATTGTTTTGGAACAATGTGACGATTGTTACTCTTGTTTTTAAAATGAAAACATTTATCCTAGTTTTTGGGTCGTTACAAGTTGGTATCAGAGCCTTGGTTTGAGGGATCCGCGCTTTCGGGTGTGTCAGAACTCAAACCGAGGAAATGATAACATTTTCAAAATAAAAAAGAATTTGAATTTTTTAAAAGGATTCTTTTAAGAAAAGAGGAGTGCAATATGTAACATCATGTTTCGGGTCGTCAGTG